ATTTGATTATTTTGCAATTGCAGACAGAATGTAATACAATTTAGGAGACACATTATTGTCTCTGAAATTTAGCAAAAAACAAAAAGAAGGACGAATAATTCCGTTGCCGGGACTTGAACCCGGGTCTTTCGGGTGAGAGCCGAATATCCTGACCAACTAGACTACAACGGATTTTGATAATTTCGGAATAAATTGATTAATAAAAATATAATATCGCTCAGTGCTCGCTATACAAAGCTTTTAGTGATGATCGCAGATGCCGAAAGGGTTTAAGCCCAGCGCCAGAGCCTCCTCCAAATGGTCGCCCTCCGACACCCCGGCGTCGGCATTGCCCTCCACGCGCCGCCTTCTCCTCCGCTCCTCCGCCGCGCCAGGCCGCCCCCCAAGCTCCACCGCCACCCCCCCGCCCCCTCCGCCGTCACCTGCTCCGCCAGCAGATGGGCCGACCGACTCCTTGCCGACTTCCAGTTCACCACACCCGACTACTCCTCCGCGGCCTCCGCCTCGTCCTCCGCCGCCGCCACCCTCTCCCCCGCGCTCGCGCCTCCCCAGCTCGCCCCTCCTGAGCGCCACGTGTCCGTCCCCATCGACTTCTACCGGGTCCTCGGCGCCGAGCCGCACTTCCTCGGCGACGGCATCCGGCGAGCCTACGAGGCCAGGGCTTCGAAGCCGCCTCAGTACGGCTTCAGCTCGGAGGCTCTCTTCAGCCGCCGCCAGATCCTCCAAGCCGCCTGCGAGACCCTCGCCAATCCTAGCTCCCGGAGGGACTACAACCACGGCCTCGCCGATGACGCGAAGGAGACGATCCTCACGCAGGTCCCTTGGGATAAGGTAACCGTAATTTGATGATGAATCCGGGGAAATGTGACTACAGTTTTGCTTGCTTGAGGAGGTGAATGATCGTTCCTTTGGCTAATCGTGGAATTTGGCGGCGATTGTGTCAGGTTCCGGGAGCTCTGTGTGTGTTGCAAGAGTCAGGGGAGGCCGAGTTGGTGCTCCGGATTGGGGAGGGTTTGTTGAAGGAGAGGTTGCCCAAGGGTTTCAAGCAAGACGTCGTGTTGGTGATGGCGCTTGCTTATGTCGATATGTCGAGGGACGCCATGGCATTGAACCCTCCGGATTTCATCGGCGGCTGCGACGCGCTGGAGAGAGCTCTGAAGCTTTTGCAGGTACTAGGCGATGGATTTTATTGAAGATTTTATCGTATTAATGCTAGGGAGTTGATGGTGGAATTGTTTTGAGAGCGGTGTACTTGCTTTTTGATGTGATTATAACATGTATTGTGTACAGGAGGAAGGTGCAAGTAGCCTTGCACCGGATTTACGAGCACAAATTGATGAGACGCTGGAAGAGATTACTCCGCGGTGTGTTTTGGAACTTCTAGGATTGCCTCTTGGTGATGAGGACAAGACAAGGAGGGAAGAGGGACTTCATGGTGTGCGTAACATATTATGGGCTGTTGGGGGAGGTGGAGCAGCAGCAATTGCTGGGGGATTCACCCGTGAAGACTTTATGAACGAGGCCTTTCTGCGAATGACGGCTACTGAGCAGGTAACAATCTTTTTTCTGTTGCTATTTTCCTTCTTGTGTCTTTGAGTTTCACTGCCTATGGTATAATCTTAACTCTGCTTGTATCTTTTACCTCCAATTGAAGGTGGATCTATTTGCCGCCACACCCGGTAATATTCCAGCAGAAAGTTTTGAAGTGTATGGCGTGGCGCTTGCACTTGTGGCTAATGCATTTGTTGGTAAGAAACCTCATCTCATCCAAGACGCCGATAACCTGTTCCAACAACTTCAGCAGACTAAAGTAGCCTTGGGGAATGCTGCCTCTGTCTACATTCCAAGAGAAAATCGGGAGATAGACTTTGCACTGGAGAGGGGTCTCTGTTCACTCCTTGTGGGGGAGCTTGACGATTGTCGCTCATGGTTGGGGTTGGACAATGTGAACTCACCTTTCAGAGATCCATCCATCGTAGAATTTGTCTTGGAAAACTCAAAGGATGATGAAGACAACGATCTTCCTGGCCTTTGTAAATTGTTGGAGACATGGTTGATGGAAGTAGTTTTTCCTAGATTTAGAGATACCAAAGATATTCAGTTCAAGCTGGGTGATTACTATGATGATCCTACTGTTCTCAGATACTTGGAGAAGCTTGAAGGAGGTGGTAGTTCTCCCTTAGCAGCAGCAGCAGCTATTGCGAAAATTGGTGCTGAAGCTTCTGCAGTTATTGATAATGTTAAAGATAGCGCTATCCAGGCGCTGCGGAAGGTGTTTCCCCTGGGTCTTAGCAAAGAGGATACTGGACTTCAGGAAGATGTGGGACCAGATTACTCGTTTTCTTCTTCAGAATCTACGGAGCCTCTCAGAAGTCCTGATGGGGACGATCTTGCCAACGTTAGTGAGGCTTCTGGAAAAGATGATACAGTGTCAGAAAAAGATGGATATTCAATTACAGATAGAATCAAAGATGCCAGTGTTAAGATCATGTGTGCTGGATTGGTAATTGGGGCAATGACATTGGTTGGCTTAAAATGTATTCCAGCTAGGAGTGGCTCATCCTTGCTTCACAAAGAAGTTGGCTCGGCAATGGCATCTGATGTTTTTAGTAGGGGTATGATCTTGCTTCATTTGCTGCTAATTTTGCCTGGTCAAACTTAATGTCCATTACCTTTATAAAAATGCACACTGTTGTCCATTTATCAGTCTTATCCTATTACTTTTGTGGCATTTGCAAGTTACTTTGTTTATCAAGTCTACTTGTCGGTACTTGGTCATTTTTCGCTGTTTACCAGTCCTAAGATGCTCAAAATGAGTCACGTCTTATGAATTGATCATTAGGTGTGTAAACTTAAAGGTACTTTTCTTGAAATATGACACTCTTCTCCTGAAATTTCTCGTGAACTCCCTTTGGTACTTTTGAGCCTTCTGAAGAGGTCATGTAGTTGATTTGGGTGTTCCTATTTAAAGTTGGGAATTTGCTTTTTTCATTTTCTAGTACTTTTAATGGAAGAGCCTATACTACTACCTTCTATGACATAGTTTTAGACCCTCGAGTTGCAATGTCCCTAGCGTCCTGCACTCTTGGGTAAACATGTTCTGCAGTTAATACTTGATCACTGTGCAGGGTCCTCAATGGATGAACTGTCCGAGGATTCACCTAGAATGGATGCAAAGCTTGCAGAATCTCTTGTTCGCAAGTGGCAGTTCATTAAGTCGCAGGCCTTAGGACCTGATCATAGCCTTGAAAAGTTACCTGAGGTGAGGCAATTCCTTGTTTACATGCTTTAATCTTGATCTTGGACATTTGTTCCATTGACATGAACATTTACGAGCCACCTATCCTTGACAGCTACAACGATAATAAGTCCATGCCTGGGTGATTGTCTTAAGCCTCATTTTTATGCTTTTCTCTGACGCTTGTCATTTTGATAGATAAATGCTGACCACAAGTTGGTGACTAAGAAATAATCATACTACAAAGTGGTATTTAATAGATATGGTAGTATCTTTATCTGCTTCCAAGAAGATCGTATGCCTTGATGAGGGTAGGATGGCAAGAGGCAAGGTTTCATTTGACCCTCGATGTGCCAAGGAATTTTATAATTTGACGTCAGATTTTGCCTTGATTAATGGTAGAGGCATAATAAAAATTTAATTGGTTGATGAGAATCTGGTGGAGACATTCTTAATGTCCTGATTGATTGATGATATTTTGCTGAGCATCTAGTGAAGAGATGTCATGCTCGTTCTCAGATGGGAGATTTGGAAAAATTAAGGTTCGGAATTCAGATGATCAACATCCACATGAAGAGGGAATTAAAAAATTTTGACTTGTATGTGCATGCAATTTTCCTTCTATTAAGCCTTTACAGGACATTTCCAGTATTCCTGTCTCCTAAATGGGAGATATGAAGCATTTTCTCCTTGTGGAATTGTGTAGACTTTTTTTTTTTTTTCGGATGTAGAATTGTGTAGACTGCAATCTGCATAAGTTGCTCTTTGTATGCCTCATATTCCATTACTTTGATCACCATATGATTTGCATTCCATTCGGGATGGACGAATAGATTGTCTCTGCTGTAGAGCCATGGGAATGCCCAAACCTTGTGGTTATCATTTGTCCCAACAGGGTTCAAGCATAATCAGATGATGGAAAGTTCCAAGTTTCAACTTCTGATGTGTAACTTCTGACCAAAAAAAAAAAAAAAAAATTCTGATGTGTAACTTGACATTCGCAGTTTGTTTCCCAATGTCGAGAAAGTATGTGCAATTTGTAACTAACTTGACGTTTCTGGCAGGTGTTGGATGGTCAAATGTTAAAAATCTGGACGAATCGTGCGGCTGAAATTGCTCATAACGGTTGGTTCTGGGATTACTCTCTGATTAGTCTGACCATCGACAGTGTGACTCTGTCCATGGATGGAAGGCGTGCAACCGTGGAGGCTACTCTCGAAGAGTCGGCCCGCCTAACCGATGTTAATCATCCGGAGCGAAATGACTCATACGATAAGATCTACACCACTAGATATGAAATGTCCCATGCCGATTCAGATTGGAAAATTACTGAAGGCGCTGTGCTTAAATCTTAAATGATTTTGAGTGGTTTGTGCCGTAAATGTTTACTGTAGTTTTGATATCTTGTTCATTTCATCATCTGCGTATAATTGATGGCGAGAGTTCGCTCCAAATACTGTTTCTCTTTCATCTTCCTTTTCCATTACAGGCTTGAAAGATATTCGACGGCCGTGTGCATGCGTGCATGTATCTGTGCTTTGATATATAGCGAGCACGCCGAGTAGCTTGATGGAGCTTGGACCGTCCGATACTCGAGGATCTCTCCCGATCAAATGAACAACAAAAATAATTTCAGAAGCTAAATATCGAACAACAAAAAGATCACGAAATGAATGCTGAACTTCAATTCTTGTACTTGAGGATCTCTCTGGAGCATTTGAACAAGCTACCTGCTGCTAATAGTGTTCGATACAATCACCTTCTCTTCACCAGTAATTGCCGCAAGAACACTCACCATCCTTGAAATGATGAAACCTCTTTCCATCTCTCACCACAATCTCTCTCCCCACCAATCTGCTCATAAACTTGAACGCGCTGTGACAATCCCCACAGATCCTGAGGTTCTTGAAGACCCTAACCGTGGCTCCCCGGGGAAGCCTCATGAGCCCGTATGCGACCGCGAGTTTCTCACTGTGGGTGGCCAGCGCGTGCTCTTTGTACTCGGCCTCCATATCGTGCAACACGTGCTTTGTGTCGGGGACGTATCCCAGTTTTCTCATCTCGAGCCCCAACTCCTCCAGGTAAGTGTATATTTCCCGTACCTCGGGGTGCATGGCGTCGTTCACCAGGAAGACATGGACTTTGCTTTCAACTTCGACCCAACTGCATCCGGGCTCCTTCTTCACCCCTCTCTCCCTCATCAATTTCCTTACTTCGGCCACTTGATCCCAGCGACCCGCATTTGCGTACATGTTGGATAAAAGTATATAGGTTCCGTCGTGTTGAGGAATCAATTTGAAAAGCTTTTCCGCGGCTTCAATCCCTAAATCCATGTTATTATGGATTCTACAGCCAGCAAGAAATGACTCCCAAATTGGTGCACCAGCCGGGGACGGCATCGATTCGATTACTTCCTTTGCTTCGCGAAACCTCCCAGCTCGACACAACAAGTCGATCAAACGGGCATAATGATCCTCACCAGGTGTGATGCCGTAAACACTACGCATTATGTCAAAGTACCGTCGGCCTTCTTTTACTAGACCACCGTGGCTACAAGCGGAGAGAACTGTGAGGAAACTAATCCGATCAGGGACTATATCTTCCTCCAGCATTTCATCAAATAGCTCAATAGCTCGAGAACTGTGTCCATGTTGCCCAAGCGCTGCAATCATCGCATTCCAAGAGACCGAATCCAGAAATGGCATAGTCAAGAAAACACGATGGGCCGCCTCCACGACGCCACCTCGTGCGTACATTGTGATTAGAGCATTCCCTGCAGAGAGGCTTGAATCATGTCCTAGACTTACGACCTGAGCATGGAGCTGGCGTCCATGCTCCAAAGCTCCAAGCACGGCACAACAAGTTATTGCTCCTGCAAAAGCATAATCACATGGTTCGAAACCTTCCAGCTTCATTTGATTGAACATCTTCAGACCTTCTTCGCCGAACCCATTCTGAGCTAATCCTGATATGATCACCGTCCATGTCAAAAGATTCCTCTCCGGCATCTCACTGAAAAGGGATCTTGCTTCGTCGAGTTGCCGTTCATTCACATACCCGGATACAACCGCATTCCATGAAACAATGTCTCTAACAGGCATAGCATTAAAAACTTTCCGTGCTTCACCAAATTTCCCAAATTTCATATATAGAGTGATCAATGAATTATTCACTGACAAAGAAAAATGTTGTGTAGGGTTGGATTCTGTTTTCAGAATGTAGGTATGAACTTGCTTCCCATGGCCCAATAGTCCAGCATTAGCACAGGCACATATTACGCTTGTGAAAGTAAACTCGTCCAAGTGAGTTTCTAATAAATGCATCTTCCTGAACAGGTCCAGGGCTTCATCAAACCTTCCGTGATGCACATAACCCGAAATCATCGCATTGCACGCAACTCCCGAATTTTCTGTCATGGCATCGAGAAACTCACGCCCTGCATCGAGGTCATGGTTCCTCACATATCCCGCAATAATTGTTGTCCATGTTACATCGTCTCTCTGGGGCATCTCACTGAACAACCTTCTCGCTGCACCCATCAACGACGGGGACGAAACCAGTGGAGACGACGCGCACTTGACGTGAACAGAAATGAGCGCATTCACCACGGAAGTAACGCATCCAGTCCCGGACTTCACAACCGCGCAATGCATTTGATGGCAGTGCCTTTCACCATCAGCGATCAGCGACGCGGCAGCAAGCACGCTTGTGAATGTATAGTCATCAGGCTTAAAGCCATGCCGCCTCATGTCAAGGAACAGCCCCACCGCGGCATGGCCGTCGTTGTTATGGCAACAGCCGGTGATCATGGCATTGTAGCAAACGGTGTCCCTCATGCCCAATGGGGTCGCGTCAAACATCTCCCTCGCCAACTTCAGACCCCCCGCGCCAGCGTACGCCGCGATCAGCGTCGTCCTGGCGACGACGTCCGGCTGGGGAATTCCGTCGAACAGGTGGCGGGCGTAGCCGACGTTCGAGGACTTGCAGTACGCGTCGATCAGGCGGTTGAGGATGTGGCCGCGGGGCTGCAGCCCGGAGGCGATCATGTGGGCGTGGACGGCGCGGGCCACCGAGTGGGAAGTGGGTGCCCCGGGGCGGCATTGCCGGAGCTGAGCGGCGTAGCGATTGGCGATGATGGCTCGGACGTCTGACGCGCTCTTGGGGTTCATTGGGGTCGTCAAGAGTCATGGTTTTGCGCCGCTCATTGGACGAGACGAGTCCGAGGGTTGTCGGATAGAGGGAGAGACTTGGGTCGGCCAAGAGAGGCAGGGTATGTTCTGTTCGGAGGCTGTTGGTCGGTCATGGAATGCAGCACTGCTGCTTTGTCTTGATGACATTATGTTTGGCATGTACTTATATAGATTGTTTTGTACTGTAGAGTACATTGGATGTAGATGTATCAGATTTTTGAAAGTGATAATGACACAAATGGTCTTGCAACTATAGCCCAATGTGAAATATGATTTATGAACTTTAGCCCGATGTGTAATGTGGTCCATGATTTGATTTCCGAACTTTTGATACATGTTCAACTTAGCTTCTGATTTTTCATATAGTTCCAGGACTAAGTTACAAATGTACCAAAAGTTCAGGAACCACATTGCTCATTGGACCAAAGTTTATTGACCAATTTTGTTATTTAAAATTTTGAAAAATGTCTCGATAGGTCATTTTTGGAAAATCATTAGGTCAAAAAGTGCAATCGAGTCTTAAAACTTGTCTTTGTAATAAAGTCTTTCCATTAATTTCGTCCAACTTGACAAACAAAAAGTACTAACAACTTGTCTTTATAACTTGATTGCACTTTTTGAAAATTTTAGGATTTAATTGGCATTTTCCTAACAAGTTTTAAGACTTCCAGTGCACTTATCCTTAAAAAAACTAGGGAAAAAACCACCAAAACCCCCAAACTTTTCCACTTGTGACACATTTACCCCGAACTTTTTTTTGTGACACCAAAAACCCCCAACTTTGTTATTTGTGACACATTTACCCCAATATACATTGTCCATGGGCATTTTCGTCTTTTTAGCTTTTTCTTTTACTTTTTACTTTTTTTTCTTTCCGGCGAGAGGCCGCCCTCTCTCGGCGTCGGGCGAGGCTCGCCCTCGTCTCGCCCGGGCGAGGGCGAGCCTCGCCCGACGCCGGCGAGCCTCGCCCGACGCCGGCGAGCCTCGCCTCGCTCGCCCGGAGTGAGGGCGAGCCTCGCCGACGGCGGCGAGGAGGCGAGCCTCGCCCTTGCCTGGGCGAGGGAGGGCGAGCCTCGCCCGACGCCGGCGAGCCTCGCCCTCGCCGGAAAGAAAAAAAAAGTAAAAAGTAAAAGAAAAAGCTAAAAAGACGAAAATGCCCATGGACAATGTATATTGGGGTAAATGTGTCACAAATAATAAAGTTTGGGGTTTTTGGTGTCACAAAAAAAAGTTCGGGGTAAATGTGTCACAAATGGAAAAGTTTGGGGTTTTTGGTGGTTTTTTCCCAAAAAACTATCCATCTTCACATTTTTTTTTCCGTAAATCGCTTAAAAAAATATTTTGAGCACATCAAAAAGCCATTTATTGCAATTACTAGGGGTGAGCATGGTCCGGGTGGGCGGTTCCCACCCCAGAACCGTGGACTGCCTGCTAAGGACCGGTTCAAAAAAATTGGAACCGAGAACCACCCGTCGATTCCATGGACCCACCCGAGAACCGGACCACCAGTCCGGTCCGGTTTCCGGGTGGATCCATGGAACCGGTCCTGTCAAGTTTTCGGAGGACACTTTCAATAACAAGACTGCAACCAATTGCACGCAAAGAACAATGCCAATTGCACGCAAAGAAGCTGAGAAATTCATCATCCTTTCGGACGACACTTTCAATAACAAGACTGTAACCCACAAAACGCAAGGAAATTCACAGAAAGACTAGTACTTTCACGACCAAATCACTAGCAAATGTCAACAAAGGGCACATGTAATATGGTCTTCAACACCCACAAGTTGCCTAAAAACAGCGAGCGATCTTGCAGAAACGGGCATAGTTCACCATAGTTACGAACTTACGTAGGAATAAAAGCAGCAAACAATTTCTCAGGCTTTGAGTACTCTAAAACTCCAAGTTCCAACCTCCTGAAAGCAAAACAACAATAAGTATAGATGAAGATGATCACACAACATTAGTTATAAATTAGAACTACAAATTGAAATCAAACAATTATTGAAAAATCTCACCACATATATTCCTTTCACTTCAGCTTGTAAACTCTATGTACCGTTGATCTCCACGTTAACATGATCCATATATAACAAAAAGAAGATATTAAATAAAGCATTCACTCATTAGATATACGAAATAATTACAAGATGAAAAGATATGGCCTTACCCAACTCAAACTTTTCCGCATTCTCGATGCACTCTTCAACATTAATAGGCTCGATAACCGCTCTCAACCAATCTTGAGTGCAAATCAAAGCTTCCAAGACTCTAGGAGTCAAAGAACTTCTAAAGACATCAAGCACACGACCAGATGTACTGAAGGTAGACTCTGAAGTAACGGTAGTTACAGGAATAGACAAAATATCTCGAGCCATCAAAGATAGAGTTTTAAACTTTTGACTAGTCATGCTCCACCACATCAAAATGTCAATATCGCGAGCCTCTTCAACTTCAGCTTTAAGATACCGATCGAGTTCATATAAGTTGCCCTCGGACTTCTTTTTCTCCTCGTTAAGAAAGGCTTCATATGATGGCTCTTGCATATAGAAATCCAAACCACAATCTTCCCCTTCATTTCCCTCATCGCAATAAGGATTGCAACTACTACCGGCACTAGTAGAACTCAAAAGTTCACCACCCAAATTCTTGTCACAAGAACCAAGAGAAGATTTCTCATAAATTTAAACAAACGTTCGAGGGCGAACTTCACCTTATCAAACATCTCATCAACTATTGCACTATCATCATAAATGAGTCTACAACAATACCTCACATAATTCATTTTTTTTCTAGGATCCAATGCTACAGCAATCAACACCATCATATTCACTTTCTCAAAACTCCAATAGTATTTGTCAAACTTATCTTTCATTTTCGCACCCATAACTCTCACCCTAGGATCGTAAGCCTTCGCCGCTTCTTTCAGGTAATTGAATAAAGAAGCTATTCCCTCAAAATAATCATTTGAAGTGATATACAAAGTCCCGGACATCTTGTTGATGGCATCATAAAACTTCTTCAAAAATTTGCAAAGAATAATGGCATTTTCCAAATCAACACTATTTGGAGTATCGGAGCTAAGCTCAGTTGAGAAAGAAATATCTTCTTCATCCATCCTTTCAAAAGCTTTTCTTAGCTTTATGGCAGTGTCTAACATTAGCTAAGTGGAGTTCCACCTAGTGGAGACATCAAGACAAACTGAACCCTTATAAGTGATCCTTGTTTTCTCAATGCAATCTTGAAATGCTTTAGCTCTCACGGGAGAACTTCTCACATACATAACAACGTTACGAATATGTGCAATAGAATCGCATACCTCAACTAAGCCATCCCTCACAATCAAGTTTAATATATGAGTCGTGCACCTCATGTGTAAAACTTCACTAACTAAGATCAATAGTTTATCTCTTGCAAACTTTTCTTTCAAATAACCAATGGCAATATCATTCGAACTAGCATTATCCACAATGATTGTTGACACTTTTTTCTCTATTCCCCACTCGTAAATGCATTTCTCAACCATTTTCCCAATATCCCTACCCTTGTGACTAGGCATCACCGCAAAATTTTTGATTCTTTTGTTCAATTTCCAGTTTTTATCAATAAAATGTGCGATGAGACATAAATAGTTCAAATTCTGAAGGGAACTCCATGTATCAGTCGTGAGTGCGATTCTAGAATTAAGCTTACGAAAGGAAGCCTTCAAACTCTTTTTTTCACAAAAATACAACTTCATGCAATCTCTAGCCACCGTAAATCACGACACATGCTTGAAGAGAGGCTGTAATTGATTGATATAATCACGAAATCCAACACGCTCAACCATCGAAAATGGTTGTTCATCAATTATAATCATTCGAACTAGCATTTCCCTACATTTCTCCTGATCAAACTTCCATGTCGTTAAAAAACTAGCACTTCCAGTACTAGTATTTCCCCCTATCATTTGATTCCCATATACTTTATGTGATGCAAACAATTTTTGCTTCTTATCTATATTGCGAGGATACTTAGGGCACTTTCTCAAATGCTTCAACATAGTTGAAGTACCATTATCAACATGGTACAAATACTTGGTCCTACAATAATTGCAAAACATTTGAAGTTTCCCGTTCTCGTCAGTTTTGCCTTTACGAAAATGAAACCAAGCTATTGATTTTCGCTTACTAGACTGAGGATAAGAACCGGATACCTTATATGTATTGGATGCCTCTTCAAAGTCATCTTCCCCTCCTTCATGTTCTAGTGATTATGATTCAATTATTGGTGTTATCTCATCATAGGATTTCTCTACTTCCATTGACATGTTAATAGATCACCTGCTCAAATCAAGCAACATATCATCAACGGATAAAAGTTAAAGTCATCCAAGATTCAAAACTAAAGCCATAAAATTCATCTAAACGACTCCGAAACGCAAAAAAATGACGTCTGTCATAGCCAAAGGCTGTGGGTATTGATCAGCAGCTTGTTTCCACACAACCAACCAAATTTCAGCCCATTCCAAGCTTGTCCATCTAAGTGCATCATTCTGTAAATGATTTTTAATGGTAGTTTCTCCAACTAAACTACCCATTTACAACCCAGAGCAGCAAATGCAGAGGACAACCGGCGAATTTGACCAACCCACGTCGAGAATCGCACAAAACAGAGATGCTACCAAAGCACCGAAACACGCGAAAGAGGAATTTGCACGAAACCGAGATGCTACCGAAGCACTGAAACACGCGAAAGAGGAATTCATGCAGCATAACATCCAAAGCCCAGCAAAGTGTGCGTGTTTCTTCACACACGTAAACCCTCACATTCAGGCAAAACGAAGCCACACCCTGCAGAGAATCGAGAGAGCAGCAAATGCAGAGGACAACCGGCTAAGAGAGATAGCGAGAGAGCAGACTTGGCAGTCGCAGTGGAAGAGACGGAGACGGAGACCGGCGGACCCGACGGAGACGGAGATCGGGAGATGGAGACGGAGACGGTGAGAGTCGGAGAGGAGAGAGTATCGGAGACTGAGAGGCGTCGACCAAGAGTGAGATTGTGAGAGAGAGAGTATCCTAATTAAGGGTTTTGGATTTTTTTAATTAAAAATTAAATATATTATATTATATATATCATACCGATCAGGTCCGGGTGGGCGGTTCCATACCCGGAACCGGGAACCGGACCCATACCCACCGGTTCCAAAAAATTGGAACCAAGAACTGGACCGAAACCCTTAGGAACCACCGGTTCCGGTCCGGTTCTGAGCCGTCCCGGGTGGTCTGGGTGGGTCTCGGGTTTTTTTGCACACCCCTAGCAATTACATTGTATTGTGACCTCCCTCCCTGCCAAAATTTGAATTTAAAAGATATTTTAAGCCTCTAAACCTATGAAAATGAACATATACAACCTAGTGATCGACATCCATACATAGACGTTTCGCGCTAAAAAAAAAAATCGCGTGCTCAAGTCGCAAAATCTACAAAAAAAAAAGTCGTGATTTAGCCTCTTTTGTTTTAGTAATAATTGCATGAAATTCAAAATCTTTTCTTTTCGTAAACAACTACAAAAAAAGACTACTGGTTAAATTTCATATATTCTCAATCGTCTGACGGTACAATCACATGTAGATGATGATATAAAATAATTAATTCCTCTTAAATGACAATTACAAATTTCAATAATTAGTATTCCAAAGGGATAATGACACAAGCAGTCCCTGAACTTTGACCCAATGTGTAATTTGATCCCTGAACTTTTAATTTGTTCAATGTAGTCCCTGAACTTTAGGCTAATGTTCAATATGGTCCCTGAACATTTATTTTGTTCAATATCATCCTTGAACTTTTAGTACATGTTCAATTCAGTTCCCAAGCTATATGAAAATGTTTGATGCAGTCATTTTTATTAATTCAAGTTCAGGGACTACATTGAACATTTTCATATAGTTCAGGGACTGAATTGAATATGTACCAAAAGTTTAGGGATGATACTGAACAAAATAAAAGTTTAGGGATCATATTGCATATTGGGTTAAAGTTCAGGAACTATATTAAATAAATTAAAAATTTAGGGATCAAATTGCATATTGGACCAAAGTTCAGGACTGATTGTGCTATTTTGCCTATTCCAAATTGCCATAGCCATCTCTCCTTTGGCTGTCCACACCTAGCAATGCAAGGAAAGGAAAGGACCCATTCTCTCTACAGGGGGGAAAAAGCGAAAGGTCACGGCGGAATCAAATCGGCTTCTTTATTAGTTTCCATTTGTCCAAAGCCATCGTCATTCATGCCGTTATAAAAGTAGTAGGCCCATTATTTTAAAAGTCAATGAATTTAAATTGAAAAAAAAACCGTGATTAAAATTTAATTTTACTGCCGATTCAAATTTCCAACAAAAGAAAAGAAAAACGCAACCTTTAAAAAAAATATTAGACCTCAATCAAACTGCTCATCGATAGGCAAGGCGTCCACATTTACCTGCCCAACATAAACCCACAAAACAATCCCTCGTTGAGTCAATTCTCATGCGAAACGATCGCTTTTCTCGTTGGGTGTACCGCTCTGTATCTCAATTCCAGAAACCCCTCTATGTTCGAGACTTGTATAGGACATTTTGCAAACAAGTGCATGTCACATTTTTGCTCCTCCCCCATAAAAAAAAAAAAGAGCTGGGATTATATTGGATATCGGTGGAGTCCCCATATAGAAATTACAGATCTTCAAAGAGAGATATTTGAACTTTAATGAGGTGTCCTGCAAAATGTTCCACTGTCATAAAATCTTTTAAATACTTTTCCGTCGAAATTGATCTCACTTTTTAAGACAATGTAGCTAGCTTCTGAAAGCATATCGAATGCATGAACTTAAGCGCGGTTATAACCTATGTGCAATGATCTCGATATGAACTATAACCGCGTGAGAAATCGACACGGATGAACACAATTAAAGTATACATCGCACCAGCAAAACCATGCAAAAAAATTTACCTTATTATTTCCACCAAATCCCTAATGATTAGCAACGATCATTAAGGAAATGCCCGTCAAGGGAAGAGGACGGTTGGGAAAAATTGGAAAGGAAATGATGACACCCACCATGCCAACTGTCATTGCCCAACCGCCAACCAATTTGCAAATCCCCTAAAAAAATCAAAAAAATAAACAAAAAATTAAAATTAAATTAAATCAAAATGGAATGAAATAAAGCAAAAAAAAATAAAAAATGAAAAATGAAAAAGCGACACCCTTTATGGCACAGTCTTCCCTGTGAATCAATCAATCATCATCGCCTTCGTTTCCACATCTTCTCGTCCCAACACGACCTCCGTTAACAAGAAAAAAAAAACCAGAGCTTGTCGCTCGTTTCGCCTTCAAAGTTCGCTCCTTTTTCCACGGGAGAATCGACATGGACTGACCCTTCAATCGCCGCATTGCGACCTCGCCGTCGGCGGTCGATTTGGCCGGAATCTCTACCCCCCTCTCCCCCTTTTGCCCCGCGTCCGGCGAAACCCTAGTGGGGGGGCCCGGAATGGCGTCGTCCAGGGGCAGCAGATCGGAGAAGGTGAAGCGGATCTTCCAGCAATTCGACGGGAACCGCGACGGGGGGCTCAACCGGGAGGAGATGGCCGCGCTCGTGGTCGCCGTGAACCCCAGGGTCAAGTTCAGCGACGAGCAGATCAACGCGATCCTGGACGAGGTGTTCAAGACCTACGGGGAGTACATCGACGGCGAGAAGGGGCTCACCTACGAGGGCCTGCTGCGGACCTACGACGACGGCGCCGGCGACGTGGACCGCGACTTCGACGCGCTGGGGCTCGAGCTCGGCCCCGACGACGGCAAGAACAAGGAGGTGAGGTCCGGGTCGGACGAGGTGTCGTCGTCGATCGCGGACGAGAGGGCGATGGAGACGCAGAAGAAGCAGAGGACGGCGGCTTGGGCCGTGTCGCCTAATCACGGGATAGTGTTCGACGATACTTGGAAGATTGTGGACGGTTTGGAGATTCTGGTGAAGAGATTGAAGGCGAAGCAGGCCAAGGATGGGAAACTGAAGGGTGATAATTTGGACGCGTTTTCGGATGCCGGTTGGTCGAGGGAGTTGGGGCCGTCGTCGGACATTTCGGAGAAAAGGGTGTTTTGGGAGGAATCGGGGCACGATTACGCCCTCTTCGTGAAGGAATTGGGGGTTTTGAGGAGCCGGGCCGACGGGGCGAGGTCGAGAGAGGAGGCTTTCGATGGGCACATGGCAATAGGTAGGGTTTTGTATGAGCACCAGCTGTTTAAGGAGGCTTTGGTGAGCTTTAAGAGAGCTTGTGAGTTGCAACCGGTGGATGTTAGGCCCCATTTCAGGGCTGGAAACTGCCTGTACGTTCTTGGCAGGTACAAAGAAGCTAAGGAAGAGTTCTTGCTGGCTCTCGAGGCTGCTGAGGCTGATGGGAATCAATGGGGTTATCTACTTCCTCAGATTTATGTCAATCTGGGGATTGCACTTGAAGGTGAAGGTATGGTTCTAAGTGCTTGTGAGTATTATAGGGAAGCTGCAATACTTTGTCCTACTCATTTTAGGGCTCTTAAGCTTTTGGGGAGTGCCCTTTTTGGGGTAGGAGAGTATAGGGCAGCCGTGAAGGCTTTAGAAGAGGCTATTTTTATGAAACCTGACTATGCCGATGCACATTGTGATCTGGCCTCGGCTTTGCATTCAATGGGCGAGGACGAGAGAGCGATTGAGGTGTTCCAGAAAGCTATCGATTTAAAACCGGGTCATGTTGATGCTTTGTATAATCTGGGTGGCCTTTATATGGACTTGGGTAGGTTCCAGAGGGCTTCGGAAATGTATGCTAGGGTTTTGGCTGTGTGGCCCAATCATTGGCGTGCACAATTGAATAAGGCTGTCTCCTTGCTGGGTGCTGGTGAAACTGAGGAAGCGAAGAAGGCGCTGAAGGAAGCACTGAAGATGACCAACAGAGTGGAACTGCACGATGCGATTGCCCATCTGAAGCAGCTGCAGAAGAAGAAGGTGAAGAGTAATGGAGGTGCCAATGGAGAAGTAGCCTTTGTGGTTGTCGAAGCTTCTAAGTTTAAGACTGTAGGTGAGAAAACTACAGTGAGGCAGGATTTGGCTAATGCTCTGCAAATTAGAGCTTTTCAGAGGGTTACTAGGTTAGGCCGTTGCGATGTTGAGCTTCTAAGCAAAGAAATGTCGGAAAAAGACGTGCCTGTTTCCTATTCTGGAACTGGTGTTCCGGAGAAATCGATACGCAAACCAAATTTGGAAGAAATCCTCCGGAGGCTACTGAATTTTCTGAAGCCCGAAACCTTTCAAGGAGCTGTCAAAGCCATAAATGAGAGGATTCTCTCTGTCTTAGATGAGAATGGCTCAGGTAGGGTTGATCTCGGCATGTTTTATGCAATTCTCGCTCCCGTTTGTGGTGGCTCGCCGGAAAAACGAAAACGGGTTGCTTATGATGCGCTGTTGTGGCGATGCATAAGTGAAGGCGCTTCTCCATCCCAGATAAGAAAAGTTGATGCTACTGCATACATCAAATTGCTGAGGGCTATTTATATTCCTTCAAGTGGGATTAGTGAAATACTTGAGGTGCATGGAGAGATGGATTCTTCGATGGTGTCTTTATCGGACTTCCTTCTAATGTTCGATGACCGAGACTGGGGTTTTGGTATCATCTCTACTTTGATAAAGCTTGAGAATGGGGATAGAAATAGACATGGTAACCACGTTTGCTCTGTTTGCCGCTATCCGATCATTGGATCTCGATTCAAGGAAACAAAATCTCATTTTAGTTTGTGTAATCAGTGCTATAGCGAGGGAAAGGTACCCTCGGCGCATAAGCAGGAAGAGTACAGATTTAAAGAGTATGGGAGTGAGGCAGAGGCGATGAAGGACAAGTGTATGTGCTTTAATTTGCAATCCCAAACAGAATCCTAGCGTAGCGGTCGTCAACTTTTTTGTTTGTTTATAATGTACTGTGCGTCGTTCTTTCTGTTTGACCGGTGTGGAATATATAGTTAATTGTGTTAGTTCGGCGTCACGCCCTTGTAATTAATCACTGTCGGTTCTACTTGCTTTTTCTTATCTTTTTGAAATGATAACTGTAGAGCTCTCTCATTTCCTCTATTGCACATCATCTAGCCACATTCTATCTCATAACGCTTCGCTTAGTGGTCTGTTGTCTCGAGCTTTTGGTTCTGTTAGATTACAGACTTGTGCATGAAACTTGGTGCACTCGGCTCATTTTAGGATGAAACTGCAGGAGTTATTTTTCTCTTTGAAGTTACACTCATGGTGAGTTTAATTGCCAGTCAGGCCATAAAAGTCGAAATGACTTTTTAGTGCTATCGGTCCAGTAAACAAGTCTAATCTTTTACTAGTGTTCATGAACGTTGACGACTGCTTAGAGTTTTACTTCTGGAGATCATGAATGCCAAGAACGTGTATTTACCAGATTCAAGTATGGATCTAAGTTCTCACATATTTCCGTGTAACTTTGGGAGACAAGATTGACTAGCAAGTCTTCATGCCTTGATACATAAATTATGCGGAAGTTTCTTCAGGCAGATCTTATTCGTGCGCTGCCTTTGCCGACTGCCTTAAGGCTTAAATTGCAGCCACTCTGTGGTGGTTCTCCGATCTAGTCAAATACCACCTCGGATCATCGAAACTACATGTGTTGCGGGTGGATAACTTTGAAACTGATGCTATTCTCTTTGAAGTGGCACACAAATAAGTTGACACGGACATACTGTGCATTCTATATTGGGAGCTATTCTCCTCCTCCTTTCTACTTACTTCCTACCTCGGGGATGAGGATGAAGTGGAAGGGAGAGGATTTGATTTGCTTAAACGGGGACACTCGAGACTTTCAAGATGGGGCGGTGGAGGGTGTGTTTACATCAATTCTTTCCTCTTCCGCCATCGACGGATTGGAGAAAACAGCGCCAGTGGACTAACAAGACGAAGGCACCAAATTTTCTTGAGAGTGGACGCAGAAGAAAGTCCCGATCTCGATGACCGACAGGCTCCGAAACCTCCGGAAGTTGTCTTTCGATTCATTCCTGGTTGGCAAACTCTATCTCGATATCAATCTCCATCGTCATGGTGGGATAAAGCCGCTTGATTTGCGCATATGCCCGTGCGCGTCGTCTTAGATCGGGAATCGAATCCGTGATCTCATCCCTAACCTCCTTTCTTCAAGGCGTGATTTACCCTTTCCCATCAATGTCAATGGAGTTGAAACTTGAAAAAGGAGACAAAGCCCTGTATTCCTTTAGGTAGGAACTTTGCCATTGTCATGGTGCAATGCAGCGAGTGCACATACATCGTGGGTCGTAGTTTCCTTCGTTCAAGCTTCCTTACAAACTTTTGTTTAGAAAAAAGATGTACTTTAGGAACTCACATATCTAATTTTTTCATTCTAGTAGAATGAGTGAGTTTATAGAAGCATCAGATATTCTGAGTTCATCCGGATGAGATTTATATAATATAAACAAAAAAATCACGTCATTAAACATCGATCCGTTGTAGTCTAGTTGGTCAGGATATTCGGCTCTCACCCGAAAGACCCGGGTTCAAGTCCCGGCAACGGAAACAGAAAAACTTTTTGCATTAAACAACTCGCCGTCTCTGTTTTTCACCGTCTTTTTCGTTTTTTGGTTCTTGCCTTTTCCTTTTGCGCCGTCAAATTCTGAAGTTTTGAGCGCCAATCTTCAAGGGAGATTGAGATCTATCGATTCCTAAATTTTCAAAGGAACAGAAGAAAAGCTCGTGCATATGTCCGAGCCGTTTGCTTTACGATCCCCTCCCCTCGTAGAAGCGGGATGTTAAAACTGTACAAAATATTAATGGGCATTATTTAAAACTGTATTGCTTCGGGCGTACAGAGATTCCCCGTGACTTTATTGGTTATGTTCTTGACAGATAGCGAGTAAAAGCCCTGTAATCTTGTGCACTAAGAGACGGTACTCAGTATCCGGTAACGCTCGCTCATCCATCCGCGCTTCGGGTGCTTATGATTCTGGCCGGTCATGTGGTCTCGAATTAGCAGCGTCGGAAATGGCGGCCTCCAATGGAGGAATTGGAGCCGCGACGCCGCCCCTGGTGTACGGCGTGGGTCCCCATCTGCCGTAGTCGTCCGTGATCACCGATCCCGTCAGGCCTTTGTCACGGTCGCGGAGTTCTAGCTTCAGCCAGTCGGGTCACAGTGGCGAAAGCAAGGGCGAGGGCCGCGTCGCCATCTCCACGCGTGCCGTCGCGACACCTATCGCTAAGGCCGTCATCGCCGCCAAGCACAGGACCGGAACCAACCGTGAAGTCATGCTTGGAAATGGCATCAGCGCGATTTATTCCACGGTTCGAGTTTGATACCATAAAGAAAAAAGAGAATCGAGTCAATAAAGCGTTGCTTTCCATTGATATGTTGTACAGTATAAATAGAGATATCATCACCTATAATTATGGTATAAGTTAAATATAAAAGATACAACTTGATTTACAAGGAAATTGAAATCAACTCGTGGATACTTTCCTTGATATGTTATCTTCGTGCTGATTTGTTGAAGATTTTGCACTATAAACATTATGATTTTTTGCTTTTTGATTTGTTGCCTCAATAGAGTCGAGTTGGAGGAGGGTCGACCCACCATCATTTAAGTGACAACTTAAATTATCCAACCTTATGTCTATCACGCACCGTGAATTTAAATGATTAGCATTTGCTTATTGTTTAACAACTTTGCCATAGCCCCAAAAACGGAGAGTGCAAGGATGGAATTAGTTGGCCTCATGCTTGATGAATGATAATGTTCATGTTTTCCGAATGAGTCGTGATTGATATGGATTTGCATTCTCCAGCCAAATGGGAAGCCGACCCGCAACTACTTATTTGAAACTAATTGAAATTAGTGGGGCTTTTGAAACTGAAAGGCATAATGAGTGGACCGCTCAAGATGAGCCAAACTCGGCCCATGAACTACAAAGGCCCATAAGGTGGTTAATTGCCTCTTACTATAAATAGTAGACACCTCTCGGAAAAACTAACGTGATTTTTCATATGCGTAAGAAGACACCCCTTCGAAAGTAACGTCTTCTCTAGTTTCCTTCAAAACGTAAGTGGGCACGAAAGATGATCGAAGATTACTCTCAAGTGCAAAGTGGCATTTAATCTGTCACAATTTTGGGTATGTTCATTATGTGATATGCTTGTACTATCGGTGATACAAGTTAATGGTTATTGGGCACGTTTTCCACATTGATCGAATTCATTTCGAATATGTTTCGAGTATGTTTATCGGGGATTGAGTTTTCCCTACATTGGTATCAAGGCTCGCTTACTTGTTTCTTGATCGTGCATGCGAATACCCTCTGAAATTAAAGTGTGTACTGTTTTTTCTTTCAATCTCGTTTTTGGCCCGTTTTCTTTGCGTCAACACACTGTTCATGCATGTTTCGATTGGTGCCTTTCGTCAAAACTTATTTTTTATTAGACAGACAAAAAGTGCTTGTTGAGACGAGCAAAATGAGGGGCGGCGCGTCGCTAGAGGAGGCCGCACGCCCCCTCATGAGCCGACACACGCCATGGGTTCGACAGCGCGTGAAGGCCACGCGTGTCGCTTGCCACCAACCGTCGACGATGACGTCATCGTGACGTTAGCGACACGCATATCCGAGTTGACTCGGATCCTAACTCGGCACGATTCGATTGACCCATTGATCGACCGGTTGACCCGTTGACCGAACCGTTAACTTGACCCATTTGACATGACCCGGTTGATCGTTGACCATTGATCGGTCAACGGTTGGACCAGTCAAACCGAACCGGTTCAGACAGGTCAGAATGACCCTAGCGCGGTTTTATGGCCTGTATGAGCTCATTTGAACTGCGATTTGGACGTTCTTGGTATCAGCGTGCTCGTATCGGAATGCTCTATGTGATGGTATATTCGTATGACATGAATGCTGCACTTATGAATGTGAAAATACACGATGAACCCTATGTATGCGTACTTTGGGGTTATATCCTTTGGCATTTTCTCTAGTATTTCTCTATGATTTTCGAAATACAAGTGCTAGATCACATGTATATAAATAAGCATTCCTTATCTTAATGTATCATGGATTATGAACAATCTTTTTGTTCTGCATTCGTTGCAGGAACAATGGTACATTGGAGACGCACTCCGATAATCCTAAGAGCGGCGGCTCAAAAGGAGAAGCTTAAGAAACTTAGAATCAAGCTAGTTCTTTATCGATGGGATGCTGGTGATGACATGATGACACACATCATCAAGGTCAACAAAATGATACAAGATATCATTTGGAACGGTTTTGTAATTCCGGAATATGTGATGATCGGAGCCCTAAAATGTACTATTCCTAAGGAGTTGGGAAGAATGCTTGATAAGGTTGGAGAAACCTTAAAGGGTTCAAGTTATAAGAAACTTGTGAAAAATTTCCTGCAAGAGTACATAAGGGTCGGGGTAAGGAGAACGTCAACCCTTGCATTGAATGGGTCTCGACGCAAACCATGGCCCGGATCTAAGGATTTTCCGGGAGCCTCTATTTTTTATCCAAAGAAAATGGAATTTCCTAAGGAATTTCATGAGTCCTTTCTTTTGTATGTGTTGGATTGGTACACTTGATGTTGGTCCTTTAGGATTTGGAATTACTTGTGTATATGTTTCGAGTTCATATTTACATGTTCTTGAATATTTGTGAATATGTTATGAAATATATGGTTATGAAAATCTGTGGCCTCCTATTTGATAATGCCATATTATATGGCATGTTATATAACTTTTGAAAAACTAAATTTTTTCTTTACATAAATGATTATGTTAATGAAAATTTCAAATTAGTATTCTTAGACGATGATTGGGAACTTAGTGACCTATCGACTCTAGGGCCTTTTGTGAAACTATTCATTAATGTGATTAGTTTATGTAATTATGATGCTAATGAAGCATCAAGATATGCATTAATAATTCGTGCGTATGTATCTGAAATGTTCAGATAAGATGGCTTCAGCAACTAAGAATATAATGGCTGAACTTAATAAGGGAGAGAAATTGAATGACAATAATTATGAGATTTGAAATCTCAAAATTAAATATGTGCTGGAA